AGGGGAAATATGGAGGCATGTATCCAGGGAGAACACCATGTGAACATTAAGGTAGCGAGTGGGGTGGTTCATTCTCAAGACAAAAAACTCCAAAACATGCTGGCGAACCACCAGGAATCCTTCCTTACCGCTGCAGAAGGAACCAGCCCTGCTAACACCAACACCTGGAGTTCAAACTTGTGGCCTGCGGAACTGTCAGAAAATAAATTTCTATTGTTTTAGCTAAGCACTTTGTGGTATTTTGTTACAGCAGTCCTAGGGAACTAATATATTAAACAATTCACATTATTTTAAAATGTATACATATATAATGTGTGAGGCATGCTACTAATTTATGGGGTGAAATTACAATGTTTTGTCATGTATTCTGCAATAATGGTTATTTATCATAGATGAGTCCACTTTTTACATTTGAACATGGTATATAAAATTCTTAGTTCACTTCCAAGCTTAGTTTTTGCTTCAGGAATTTTATTGATAACCACAGTTGCTACTGGCCCAGGAGAATGAAGTTTCTTCACATTTAAGAAAAATAATTATTGGGTTGTTGGAAAAGTCATGATAGATTTTTTTCTGTGCAAAAATGCATCTTAACTTTTCTGACAACTCAATAGTATGAGGATTCAAGAAAGTTTCACTAATTTGGTATTGTTGCCAACAGAACACATACTAGGTAAAGATCTTGCATGAAACACCACAGCCATTTTCCAGAAATAAAAGGGGAAAAAAAGAGGGAACTATCATACAAAGGAGATTTCAAAAAGTTCATGGAAAATGGAATTACAGCATCACTTTTTAAAAAAAAATTATTTAATTTCTTCTAATTATTATTTTTTTTAAATCTGCCAGAGGGTACATGTGCTCACTGGAGAGACAGGGAGAAAGAAAAATGAGAAAGCAATCTCCCTGGGGATAGTCATGCTGTAATCCCTTCTCCTCCATTTCTTCTTTCCTTTGGGGTTTTGAGTGTACACACACACACACACACACACACACACACACGCACATGCGCCTGGTGTGTTTCCAAAGCCACTGGGTCTAGGACAGTGCAGTTGTCATAGGAGCTCAAGTTGCCTCAACTACTATACCATAGGCCAGCCTACATGAGTTTGTTTTGATGCAGTGAAATTTAGAAAAGTCATGAATTTTTTTTCATAATATGCATTTCCATGAACTTTCTAAAGACCCGGCCTATAGCAGTCTATAGCCTATGACTTATACATAATGATTCTGGCCCATGAACACACCTAGACATGTTTAATAATGATTAATGAATTCACTTTTGATAGTTTCTGGCTTTCCATCATAGAAAAACCATAACTTTACATGTATTTTTTTATTTTGTCATTATGAAGGTATATTTGTCAATGTGGGAGGAGAAGACATATTTCATTTAACAGTTATGCTAGCTTGATTTATAACTTTTAAATATTTAGACGTATGGTATGTGGGCCTCCGCTAGTACTCAGGCCTCAGGCCCTATCGCTGTTAGGGGTGGGCCAAGGCCCAGCAATGACAGAGAAATGAAGCCAGAAGCTATGAACAGAAGCCAAACTAAATTCCCAACTTGCTTCTGTTATAAGCTAAGACACCATCCTGAAAGCTTCTTGGAAAACCCTGGTGTAGTCCCTTAGAGGGAGGACCAAGTGCCTTCCTGGGCCATGATCCCACACAAGTCCTTCAAGTCAGGAGCAATGTATTCTGTTACCTTGAGGGACCCTCAGCTCTCACCAAGTTTTGCACACCTAATACATTTCACTGTTCAGATGTTCTGAACATTAGGGTGGGTCATAGGTGTTCATTTTGCTTCCTCTGCAGGAACTCTGACCATGACACGTTAGACATAAGCAGAGCAATTTGCAACTGCAATTTGTAACTCCTGTTATGCAAAAATAGTATACAGTTTGACAAAAGGGCTTCCAAGGGATCCTCAACATTGTGCTATTTCCCACAGCTATTGCTTTATCTTCTGCTTGCTTCCTTATACCACAGTGTGACTGCTTATTGGGGCTATGAAGCCAGGAGTGGGAACTCTTATTCTGTATTGGAGATAGTCTTAGGAAATGAGGAATGCTAGGGCAGGCTAAGTGGCAGCAATTGAGAAAGGAGGAAAAAAGCAGGATACGACATTGGTCCCTAAGAAAAAAGGCATCAAATGCAAACAAGGAATGCCAAAAAGATGGATATTTAACTGCAAAAGGCCCCAAATACAAGCTGTATTTTATTTGGGGTTATATTTTATTGTAGCTCTGCTATGGTTTAGACAATGGTTTGTCCCCCAAAGTTTCACATGTTGGGATTTGGTCCCTAGTGCAATGGCATTGACAGGTGGTGAGACATTTAAAAGGTGAGGCCTAATGGGTAGATCATGGAGGGATTACCCTCATGAATGGATTAAGGTCATTTTATGAGTCTTCAGGGGAAGGGATTAGCTCCTGTGAGCACAGGTTGTTAAAGGCTCTTCTCTAAGTGGACTGAGGTGATCTTTGAAAATGGTTTGCTATTCACTTGACCCAGAGAACCCCACAAAGTTGTGCAAATCAAGAGGTTCAAAACTTTGTGTTCACTTTAAGAACACTTTTGAAACTGCCCAGGCTATCAAGGGTGTGCATATCCGAAAAGCCACCACGTATCTGAAGGATGTCACTTTACAGAAGCCGTGTGTGCCATTCCGTCGTTACAATGGTGGAGTTGGTTGATATGCCCAGGCCACACAGTGAGGCTGAATACAAGGCCCGTGGCCCAAAACGAGTGCTGAATTTTTGTTGTACATGCTTAAAAATGCAGAGAGTAATTCTGAACTTGAGGGGTTAGATGTAGATTCTCTGGTTATTTATTAAGCATATCCAGTTGAACAAGGCACCCAAGATGTGCCACTATACTTACAGAGCTCATGGTCAGATTAACCCGTACAAGAGCTCCCTCTGCCACACTGAGATAATCCTTACTGAAAAGGAGCAAATTTTTCCTAAACCAGAAGAGGAAGTTGCACAGAAGAAAAAGATGCCCCAGACAAAACTAAAGAAACAAAAACTTATGGGACGGGAATAAAGTCAGTATAAAATAAATGTAGATAATAGTAAAATGGAAAAAAATGAAGAAAGCTCTCTCAGGACTCTCTGCATGTACTTGCTATCCTCTCTGCTTCTGTCAGTCATAACGTGAGGTCAGCCTGATGCTAGCCCCGTACTTTTGTACTTTCTAGCTACCAGAATCATAAGTCAAGTAAACCTCTATTTATAAATCACCCAGTCTCAGGTATTTCTGTTAGTAACACAATAGACTAGAATAAACTCCCTCCAAGCAAACATGGCAACTCTATATTTCATGCTATTGCTGACTAACAAGATGCATAATTGGATCTTTATATAAAACAGATGAACCTGACATCAAAGGATACTTTCAGCTGTTGCTGAGCATCTTTAAGGAACTTCAATACCCTCTCCACTGATACCAGTTCACAGAAGTGGATACTATCTTTGGATAGAATTAAAAAACAAGAGATTCTTAGATTAGCTCTGTCAGAAAAAATGGCAATAAAGAAAGAATACAAACTTCAAAAAGGGTATATAAATGTTAAAAAAAAATTTTGATAATAAAAAAAGTAACTCAGATATACATATATGTCAGGCAGAAGGTTAACAGGCCAGTGCTTAAAAGCCAAGGCAAATTAATGAACCACATTAATCTACCGAGAATACAGATTATCAACCACATCTGAAACACAGATTAACAGGAACAAATAAGTACCAGAGTAGCCTTTTTACAGCGAGTAACAAAAGTTTTAATCTTTGTTCAAATAAGACTTCAAAAGGATTCCACATACAACTGATGATGAAACCAGTAAAAAAAGAAAAAAGAAGAAAACGTTAGTTTTAAGAAACACGGGCAGAGAGAGACCAAACTTCTGATCTGTTTTTAAGATCATTTAACATCTTCTCCCTAAACAAGTAGAATGTAATTAGCACTTGGGTGATTTTAAAGACTCTTTTACAGTTGCCTTTCACTGGCTGATGAAATAGCAGAACCGTGTGGCTCAAGGCCAATGTTTATTTTTACCCATTATTTTATTAATGGGATTGTGGGCTACTGGGCCTCCAGGCACACACAAATGTATTCAAATACCCCACACTGTAATTAAGTGGCACAGAGGGGATTACAGTAAATTAAATGGCTGTTATATTTGCTCTGGGTGGAGTCTAGATGGAACATTTTTGATGCTCTTAGAGCACAGCCCAGTGCATTTTGCTTCAGAAGCATACAAAACATGGAGGATATTTTCTTAAAGAGCAAGAATTTTCATAAATGGTTCTTCCCCCTACCCCAAGTAAACATATGCATAAAGAAAGATGCTCTGGGTGGATACACCTAAAGTGAAAGATAAAAATCCCTTAGCCAGAATAATGGAGAAATGCATCAGCAATAGTGTCAATGAAAGACATAGGATCGTTAGACTCCAGTAGCAAGGGACTCAAAATGCATCAACCTCCGACGGAACTCTCAAAGCAAGCATGGAGCTTTCCTCCTTCAAGTTAGTTAGAACTTTTGCCTCTGAATTTTTTAAAGGGAATAAAAAAAAAATAAAGTGATCACCTACTTATTGCTCTGATCAATAATTAAAAACATCAGAAATGCTTGCAGAAATGCAGAAAGAAAAACCTTTTAGCTTAAAGGTTCTTAATTAGAACTCTATCATTTTTTTGTTTGATTATTCCAAATCCATTGTTGTCACTAAATATTAAATTTATTATAAAATGGTGAATGTAAGATTTTTTGCCTTGATCATTCGAAATCAATGTTATCACGCTTGAGGTTACTGCCAATGCATCTGCTATGAATCTTCATATCAAAGAGAAAGCAAAATGGATGTGGATGGGGAAAATGGAGTGACACCTGGAAACACAGTCTTTTGGCCCAAGCAAAGGACAACATTGCCTTTGCCCTAGAAACCTACAGAGACACCCTTAAAAATAACAAGAAAGGAGGTACAAAGTACTTACGAGGATCCGGGACTTGCAGTAGGAGGGGGGCCTGAAGAAATGAAGGAAAAAAGAAATAGTCAGTTGGGGTTATTGCAGAAGTGGGCAGGGGTTTGGGGAGAGGAATGAAAGTTCTTAGTCACCTAGAGGTGATTTTTATTTTTCTGGAACTCATCATTTTGCTCCCTTTCTCCTTACTGCCTCTATGAAAAAAAAAAAAAAAAAAACAAACCCAAAAACCAAAAAATAAAAACAAGTAACCAGTGAGAAGTTGTCTACAACCCACAGTCCAGGGCCTCAAAAATGCTAAGCCAAGTGCTAAAATGTGAGTCACCGGAACAGGCATCTTCAAACTATGCAGGGAGTTTCAGGCAGGAGTCCAAGAGATCTCACGAGGTATCAATTACAACAGTGAGAAGTAGCTTCTGGTCTTCGATGGCAGTTGACCAGAAAAGGAGTATGCAAGTTGCAAATGTCCCTGAATTCTCCGGACAAGGAGCTTCTTATTAAGAAGAAGGGCTCAAGGACATGATGGTTTGAAGTAGGGCCTATGGGATTAGGGAAATCTGGACTCTGTTCCTGCTCTGCTGTTTATTGTGGGCAACCCTAAACATGGTGATAAACTACTGGGCCTTGGTTTCTTTCTTTGTTACATGGGTTCAACTGTACCAGCTACAGGGTTGTGGACACACAGTACATTTTCAGTAAGTCCTCATTCCCTTCTTCCCTCACCTACCCACAGCCCCTAGCCATCCCAGCACACTGGGCTGAGAGGAGAAGCCCCCCTCCCTCCCCTCCCCTTTAGAAGGCTGCTTACCAAACTTGACAAACAAGACGCCAGTGGTAGAAACCACCTTTTTGCCATTTGTTGCCACACACTGGAAGTAGCCTGTGTCTGTGGTGTCGAGATTTCTAATCCGCAGCCGAGAACCATAACTGGTTGCCCGAAAGGAGATTCTCCGGGGCTCCTGGACTACAGGTGCATCATTTTTGAACCAGCGGATGGTGGGAGGCGGATTTCCAGAGACTTTGCAGTGCAGTTCTGCTGTCTGGCCCAGAGATGTGGTGATGTTATTCATTGGTTCATCGAGGGTCAGGTAAGAATCTGCAAACACAGAGGGAAA